CGAAAGGGCAATCATCTTAACGTTCTTTTTGGCAAATTCTGGTGCCAGCTTCGCAGCTCTGCCAAGCTCTGTGGTGCACACGGGGGTAAAATCCCGAGGGTGGGAGAAGAGAATGCCCCATCTGAAAGAAAGGAAGAGGAAGTCACAACTTACTGGAGAGGTTATCACCATCAATGTAGAATGAGAAATCACAAATCCTAGGTCAAAAATGACTTTCTTTTTAATTTATTTTTTAAAAAGATTTTTATTTATTTATTTGTCAGAGAGAGAGAGCACACAAGCAGGGGGAGCAGCAGAGGGAGAGGGAGGGAGAAGCAGGCTTCCCGCGGAGGAGGGAGACCGATGTGGGGCTCGATCCCAGGACTCTGGGATCATGACCTGAGCCGAAGGCAGACGCTTAATGACTGAGCAACCCAGGCGCCCCAACTTTCTTTTTTAAATGAATGCTTATGAGGACAATTACTTTTAGATTTTTGTCGAGGAATGCTTTCTGATCTTCTTACTTCCAGAAAAGCCCATGTTTAATGCCCAATTCCACATGATAAATGTCTTAAAAGACTCTAATTTAAGGGTCTTGCCTCCTTTAATAACTATAGGGCCACCCTGACTCTTTTCAGCTCATAAAATCTGTGCTATTTAAACCAACAAGCTTATTGAAATAACTTCCCCCCCCTTGCTTACTCCTATTTTTTTTTTCTAGGCACAGAGACCCTGACATTTAGCTTCAACAATTGATGTCCCAATGTGCCCCAATCCAAACAAATGCCTGATTGCAATAATAAGCAGGTTATGTAATCTGAAATAAATAGGCTTCTATCCCCTATTTATATGTAAAATTAAAGTTGACACTTGGCTTCTGTGTAGTGAATGGATATAAAAACTTTTGTAAGTAGGCTTTCCTGACCTAGCCTGCCAAACAGGACACCCAGTCTTTGCACCCTGACAAAATAGCTGTTTTACCTGTCTCTTCGTTTGCAGTTTCTTTTTCTTCCTGCTTTAGACCAAGTGGGCAGAAAACTGAGAGCCTACAACAGATTTTTAAAACTACAGATTCTTAGGTAAATCCTGGTATCTAAATCATCATTGCCTAAGGTAAAACTTTGTATAGATTTTAAGCACAGTTCAAGTCACCAAGAACTTTTGGACTACCACTTCCTTCTCTTCGGCAACAGAAGCTACTCTTCTGACTGAAAAGGAAAATTTAACACTCGGTTTTCCACGACCCTTGTTGATGTATGTTAAACCAGAATCCTAAACTATCTTTAAAAAAAAAGTGCGCCCGGGGGGCTCAGTGGGTTAAACTCAGGTCATGATCTCGGGGTCCTGGGATCGAGTTCCGCATTGGGCTCCTTGCTCAGTGGGAAGCCTGCTTCTCCCTCTCTCTGCTGCTCCCCCTGCTTGTGCTTACACTGTCAAATAAATAAATAAAATCTTAAAAAAACAAACAAACAGACCAGGATCCTAAACTAGTAGATTACTAAACCTAGCCTAGATGCCAAGCTGACCTCTCAAAGTTTGCCAAGTTTCCTGAAGCACAAAGAACAAAAGCAGACACAAGGGTACCTCCTTTCCACCTACATCTGTCACTTGGGACTCCCAGGGCTTCAGGAAAGGAAAAGCCTTCCCATAAAAAGGATAGAAGGCCCTATGGCAAGACTGGGAAGAGAGGTAATATTTTAGTCTTATCTCGGAAGCTAAACAGGGTCGGGCCTGGTTGGTACTTGGATGGGAGAGAGGTAATATTTTTAAGATTCTGGAGGATTGTGGTAGATTTACTTTTTTATGAAGGGCAGTAAGAGGGACATTCATCTTTTGAAAGAAATAATCTAGGCATAGGTAAAATCTAGGCCTTAGATTCTATGGAAAAGGATCGGCTTAAGGGTCAGATGAGACTTAAGAGAGTCTCCAGGAGTTGAGAAAAAAATAAACAGGACATTTCTTCCTGTGTTGTTACAGGGTTGATGAATTACAAGTGTGAGACATACTCTTTCCATTGTGTGTCGAGAAGGTTTTGCTGAATCATGCTAAGGAACTGAGTTTAAGCCACTTGACAACCTGCACCCCTCAGAAGCCAAACTCCAGTTTGCCATGTGGCTAGGAATAGGATAACAGAATGTCTTACTTCGGCCTGCCTTCCCCTCTAAGTCTCCCTACTGTGCTCTTAAGAGTAGTTCAATTACATTATCCCATTTCCTTCCTTATTTTCAAAAGACAAAAGGTTTCCTCCTTTAAGGGAAGGGTCCCTACTCACCCCCAGGAAACCCCAGGAAAACACGTTTTGTTTGGTGAAAATGTACTGTAAAGTATCTGCTTCTACCACATACATACAAAAATAGTGATAAAGCTCATTAAACTCACCAAATGCAGCACCCAAACCCCTTAGCTGTTTCCAATTGTCAGAGGTAGGGCAGATACCTGTATTGTTTGAAATTATTATTATTTTTTTCTCCAAAAAACACCTGGATCAAAAAGTGGCATCTGAATTAAGATCACACACAGAATGGAGTTGGGAAAAATTGTATTAGGCAAAATCAATATGTTATAATTATATAAAGAGCTCAAACTTCTTTTTGGGGTAGGGGAGGGAATACTACCCCATGCCTTATCTGAGGCCGACTTGTTATACTACTTGTTTATAAACGCAGGTATTTTTCTCATCTTCCTACTGGTGGCTCCCTGAGAAGGTACTACTTTTAATGAAATCAAGATAGATCCAGGGGCCAATAAGCAACAACAAGAGGAAACCCAAAAATTAGGGTTAGGGTTAGCTTAAATAGTGACAGCATTTATAATTATTGCTATAGTATGTTAATATTTATCTTTAATCTATACAGTCTAAGAGTTCTGGTAAGATTTTGTTGTATGGGCTACAGATGGGAATGGGAAGGAACATACCCTGAAAATCCCATGGACTTTTGGAGAAATACTAATACCTAGATTATGAGATTGGATACAATCTGTATGTCTGAGGTCTTTTCCTACCTTTAATGTCTGAATGTTCCAGTTCTCATCTTTTTTTCTAGCCTAGTTCTCTCTTTCACAAAGCTTAGCTCTTCCCTTAATCAGTGGCTGGACAATGGATTTAAGGGATTGTAAGGGGATGCGTAGGCCTAAAATGCAGGTTCTCTGCATAGCCCCATCCAGTTATTGATTAATCTCATAAAATTCCCTCTCTCTGCCTACAGACACATATACCTGGATGCTGTATATAAAAAGGATACAAATCATGGAGGAATTGTTAAGCCTTACAACATCACAGTGTAAAATGAACACACAAACAAAAAGCCAGGAACAGAGTCATACATACAAAGAACCAGCGGTTGCTAGAGGCGGTGGGAGGATGGGTGAAATAGATGAAGGGGATTAAGAGGTGCAAACCTGCAGTTACAGAATATGTAAGTCATGGATATGAAAAGTACAGCATGGGGAATACAGTCAATAATACTGTAATGTATGGTGACACACGGTGACAACACTCACTGTGATGAGCACTGAGTAATGTACAGAATTCTCTAATTACTCTGCTGTACACCTGAAGCTAATAAACACTGTACGCCAATTATCCTTCAATAATTAAAAAAAAAAAAAAGGAAAACCAGTGTGGTGGGGCTGCTGGAACTCCAGAATATAATGACACATCTTTGGGATGTTTCAGATTAAAACTAAGCAACTTGACAGCTTGCTGATTCAGGAGCTGTAGAATGGAAAACCAGGGCAACGCCGACCTACTCCCAGTCATGACGGTCTGACTGCCAGGCCAGATTTGGCTATCACCAGCAAGGCCACGTGCGGGAAGCAAGGCAGCAGGGGCAGGAAGCGGTGAGGGGCACACCACTGGGAAACAAAAGGGTCTCCAGAGCGGGGAGGGACAAGCGTCCTGGCGCCAGCAAGAGCCTGCCTACTGCGGCGCCAAGAACCGGCCACCGCCGCGGAGCAACCTCAGAAAGCCCTCCCCTCCCAGTGCTGCAAGTGCTGGAATGAAGGGCACACCTACATGCAGAGTGTTCTTGGTTCCTCCCAGGGCTGTTATCAAATCATATCCCAGCCCCCGCAGGAGGCTCTGGACAACAAGTCTTTCAGCCAGTTATTTGGCAGCTGGTGGTTTTAAATTTTACTTTTTGTGTCGAGAAGCCTGAAACGCCAGCGCAGCAAGCAGGACTTCAGATAACGCGCTGGGCCGTCCCGAGCCTTCAGCCGGCAGCAGTGTCTTCAGACCGGCCTGAAACACCCACCTTCCCCAGGGAGCAAATTCCAGAACGCAGGGAGGGAGGTGCGACCCTGGGCACGAATCCCGGGACGTGACCGCTGATGCCGCCCGACCCTTGCCCCCGCTGGGCCTCGGCTTGACCGCGCTACTTGGCACCGCTCACCAAACCGAGTGAGACAGGCAACCAACCCTCCGCATCCGCCTCCGGTTCCCGGACCTGCGGGAACCCAGTTTCGCTCCCCTCCCCCTTTCCCGCCGCGGAGCTAGCTCAGCCACGCGGGGGCCGCAGGCGGGAGGGGGGTCCAGTGGCCGGCCCCCAGCAGCGCTCGGCCGACGCGGGGCAGGGGCCACTCGGCCAGAGGCACGTGCAGGAACCGGTGCGGGGAGGAGGCGGGCGGCGAGCAGGAGGCTGAGCGGGAAGGAGGACGGAAGGGAGAAGAAACAGGGAAGGCACCTCCGAGGCCGGGCGTAACCCGAGGCCAAGGCAGGGCTATGAGGTGGCCACTTACGAGTCTCCCAGATAGTCGTGGAAACGGATGCGGCCGACGGTAGTATTGGCCTCGAAGTTGGGAGCCTCGTTCCCGAGAAGGAGACCTCCGGGCATGGCGGCAGCGGTGACGCGGGAAGACGAGGACGCGCAGCAGCGACAGCCACCAGCTTGCCGGCTCTGGCGGTGTAGCTACCGGCCGCAGAGTAAACGCGGCCGCGAGGGGTGGGACGCGGGCGGAGTGGGCGGGGTCAGAGGCGGAGTCTAGGTGGGCGGGGCCGTGGCAGGAGAGGGTCGGGACTGGACCCGGCCGCGGGCGGGGTGGACCGAGCGGAGGTCCGCGCGGGTGCGAGGGAGGGTCCGGACCTCCCGAGCGAGGGGCGGGGCAAAGGTGGATGAGCTCTAGGCACTGGTCGGCTGCCTCTGAACTGGCCCGGAGCCTGCGGGCACTCGCCCGCGTCTCCACTCACGTGACGTTGGACTCAGGGACCTTACCCCCTGGAGGCTTGGAGGTGAGCTAGATTTGATCCTGCAGTGCGTCCGGGCTTTGAAGGTGCAAGGAAGCGGAGCGCAGTAGAAGGGGAGCCCCGAGGCGGAGAATCGGGGTGCGGGATGACGAATCCGCGGAGGTTCTCCTGTACGCTCACGCTCGGTCTCCTGACCCCTCCACTTACCCCTCTTTAAGTGTGAACTTCTGGAATCCTGACCACCCCAGCCAGGCTAGCTGTCATGAACTCTGTATCAGAGGATGTGGCAAGACCCAGACATGTAGGGGACCTTATGTCAGAGGAAGTGGCTTTCATATTGCAGCAAAAATTCCAGCACCTATGTCATCAGTCACCGCCTGGGGGAATGTGACTAAACTTTTATTTCACTTCCCTCTCCCAGGGGAAGTCAACGCAATTATCCTGAAATTTAGATATCCATTTTTTTTTTTTTTTTTTTAGATATCCATTTTTAAAAGATATATTTATTTATGGGGGGAGGGGCAGAGGGAGAGGGAATCTGAAGCCGACTCCCCGCTGAGCGTGAACCCCAGGAGGGGCTCTATACCACAACCCATGAGATCATGACCTCAGCGGAAACCAGGAGTTAGTTGCTCATGGGACTGAACCACCCAGGTACCCCTGAAATCTGCATATACATTTTAAAGCATACTTATTGCGACCTGCTGTGTGCAAGTCAACTCTGCCACCCAAGGAAGTGGGAAGTTTAGATTCATTTATTTGCTATGTGCCAAGCATGAGGCAGACAAAATGACTGGTCTCTTGGAGCTTTCCTTCTAGTAGGGGAGACATAATAAACAAGAATATATTAGATAGCAGTAAATCCTATTTAGAGAAATAAAATAAGGTTCTGTGCTAGAGGGTGGCTGGGGAGCTGCTTTGGATTGGATGGTTTGATCTGGGAAAGCCTCTAGGATGATGTAGGTAAACTACTTGGCACATAGTAAGTGCTCTGGAAATGGTAGCTATTATTTGGCTGATGATAATGGCTTATGCAGTACCTCTTGCTTTGCAAACTGTGTGGGAGGCACTGTTCCAGGCCTGGTGGTACAGTGAAGAGCTACAGTCCCTGCTCTTACAGGGAAGGCAGATGTACATACAGTTATGATAAAAATATAGAGTAAATGCTGATGGGGGAGGGTGCTAAATGGTTGGCGTTCAGAAGTGGGAAAATTCACTGCATGGAGCTCCTTAGGCTTAAGGAAGGCACATAGCAATGTTAAGAGAAGTGACTCACATACTGTAATTTCAGTTTTCATCATAGTGCTGTGTGTGGGGTGTGTGTGCGGGCTTGCTAACCGTATTTACTCAGTTTTCCCCTGAACAAGGATTTACAGTAAGATTACTGGTAAAATTTCTAGCAACTCTAGAGAACGCTATAGAGCTACTGTAATTTCATATCTAAACTAATTTGACTCCAAGCTTTGGTTTCAAAAGTGCTATGTCTTAACTCCTTTTGCAGGGGGGTAGAAAGAGAGGAGGGAAAGGAGGGTAATTTAACTTTAATAGACTATTATTAATGCCATGGGGATAGGGTAGACAACCCAGATTTACCACAACTATGGAGAATACAGAAATAGACTATTGATCTCTAGAAAAAGCATAATTGGGGTGCCTGGGTGGCTCAGTCGTTAAGCGTCTGCCTTTGGCTCAGGTCATGATCCCAGGGTCCTGGGATCGAGCCCTGCATCGGGCTCCCTGCTTGGCGGGAAGCCTGCTTCTCCCACTCCCCACCCCCCCGCATGTGTTCCTGCTCTCACTGTGTCTCTCTTTGTCAAATAAATAAATAAAATCTTAAAAAAAAAAAGCGCGTAATTGTGGAACTGTCTGTTGTAAATTAAGCAAATATAATAAAATGAGATAAATGCCTGTTAGGATTTGCAGTGCCAGAGACTGCACACTGGAAGTCTTCTTGGCCCCTGCATGCTTCTTTGCTTTAGCCTCTGCAGCATTTTAAGTTCTTTTGAATTAGCTGACAACATTCGGAAAACAGGATTTTTTACAAAAATATCTGGATTTCTGTCTCCTGGAAAGTCAGATCTAGCCACACTGGTCCCACGTTGCATGTGGATGAACAGTGGCTGGAGAGTAGCTTTCTAAGAGTGCATATGTTCCCTGTTACTCAGAAGGTTCCTCACCACATACCGACATTAGTGTCTATTGTCACTTTAATGCCCCTCTTGCACTGTTATAGTTTCTAGAATAGAATTAGGAGGAAAATGAATCCTATCCTAATGTATCCCTATCTCTGTCAAAATTGTGAAAATGAAAGGTTGACCAAGGGCCATATGCTCCAAGGAAGAAAAAGATAGAGTGTATTTCTTTGTCAAAGGAAAGAAGAGTCCCATATACTTAATGTGCAAAATTGTAAGAATACTGTTTGTCCTGTGTGGCCTGTGTAAGAATACTGTTTGTCCTGTGTGGCCGCTGAGGTCATGATCTCATGGGTTGTGGGATAGAGCCCCTCCTGGGGTTCACGCTCAGTGGGGAGTCGGCTTCAGATTCCCTCTCCCTCTGCCCCTCCCCCCATAAATAAATATATCTTTAAAAAATGGATATCTAAATTTCAGGATAATTGCGTTGACTATTTTATAGTTCGCAATACTGGGAGAGGGAAGTGAAATAAAAGTTTAGTCACATTCCCCCAGGCGGTGACTGATGACATAGGTGCTGGAATTTTTGCTGCAATATGAAAGCCACTGAAGGTAGGTGCTCCATGGGGTGAGTCCCTCCCGGAGGGCAGCAGTTAGAGCTCTTTTCCCAAGGGCTAGCAGGAAGCACCATGGGAAGGAGGCAGGGAGGGGGGCCAAGGAAGGCGTTCCAGGGAGAGACCAGAATGTGAAAAAGGGAGACCGTCTAAGGGAGGAATTAACTCTGCAGACAGGGGAGAGGCTGTGGTATCAGGGGAGGAAGATGTTTTCTGGCAGCTGGCAGGGTTGGAGAGAGTCTTGAAGTTCTGAGAAATAACCCCTGAACGGCAGGAAGGAAGGGATTGCTGGGATTTTCAGAGGGCTATGACTCCTGTCTGACTGGTAGGCCCTTCTTCCTTTACCACTTTGGACGGACTGAAGGAAAAGGTGGAAGGATTGGCAATGGCCATTTGGAAGAGCAACGGTGCCTTACTGTCTCTCTCTCATTGTCTCAACTAGGTTGTGAACTCCTAAAGGCTTGACCGTATTTTACTGATAAATATTTGTGACCCACTAGACATGCTGGGCATGGGGCTAGATTACACGACTCGCTGGAGAAGCAGTTAGCTACCTCCTGCCGCCACAACAACAAAGTTTGTCAGCCTCCAGCTGGGAATAAAAGAGCTGCGTGGCCCTAGTGATAACTGTAGCTAGGGAAAAATCCTTATGCGTTGTGGGGGGTGATGGGGGAGATACATAAAACTTGAAATTAATGTTAGGGAGGTGGAATTAGGTTTTTAAAAGCAATTCTTATAAGCTTTCTTGTTAAATCTGATTGTCATTTCAGAAATAAAAATAGAAAGAAGGCTGGTGCACGGGAAACTTGTGTGTGGATCAGGACAGTGCTGCCCACCTGCTGTATGAGCAGGGCTGCTAATCTCTCCACTGCTCTTCTCTATCTTTGGTAATGCGGTCACTCCTCCCTGTTGTATCTACTACAGGACATCCGCAATCTGGAAAGAAACCAAGGTGGGAGTGAAAATGAAAATACAACAGCTGTTAAAATGCTGGAATGATGAATAATAACTCAGCAGGGCTCTGGAGTTGTAAATTCTGACACTTATTTTCCCAAATAAAGCACCCTGAAAGTTTACTTTTTACCCTGAAAGAGACTGCTTACAAAGTTCCACAAATAACAATTTTTTGGGGGTGGGGGAGAAATTTGTTCATAAGTGGTTAAAGGATTAGATTTAGAGACATTGTATAATTATTGGGTAACTAAAGACCCCAAGCCAATTTAGAATTGTTTGAAGGGTGGTGAGGTAAGTTAACCAGTTCTCTTATCTGCTTTTAGTTAAGCATAAGAGGCCCTATGTGCTAAGGGGAAGCATTTATTACGGTTACAGAGTGGGCAGTGAATATAAATTTGTGAAACTCCATATCTGTATATAACAGAAACTGTCATAGAAAGAGGGGAAAGGGGAAGAGGGAGAGAAAAGAGAGAGAGCAGAGAGCAGAGAAGTCACAAGAGCAGGCAGGCAGAAGAAAGAAGGAAAACAGGGAGAAAGGGAATTTGGAGAGGGACCCATTTGAATGCCTGCCTGCCTTGCCTGGGCTCCCTCCAAAGGAAAGCTGACCATATGGCCCCGCCACTCTGGCCCTCGGTGATTGCTCAGGGCTGGGTGTTGGCCCAAAGGCAGTCGGCCTCCAAACTGGCTAACAGCCCCTGAGGGAGCCTGGCACAAAGTGTTTTATTATGGGACCCTCTCTTGGTGATGGGAATGCAAGACAGCAGAGTGGGTCAGCAGTTCGCAGCAGGGGTGGAAGACAAAAGATGGTCCTAGGCGCGGAAGGGAGCAGAAGCCGTGAGCCGGAGAGTGGAGAGTAGCAGGAACTCGAAGCAGAGTAGCAGGTGAAGGGAGCAAGATAAGCACCAAGTCACTAAAACTACACTGGGGACTAGTGGCCGGCTAGCTTCTGAACTCAAACTCTTTGAGGCCTACTGCCAGGAGGGAGCTAAATAAAGGTCAGTGGTGGGAGAAGCCCTCCCCAGGAACAGGGAATAAAGTTCTGCATTTCCTGAGAATTTAAAGACAAAGACAACAACAACAAAACAACAACAACAACAACAATGATGATGATGTCAGTCTGCATGTTATTATCAACAAAATCTGGCACTTCTAAGCAATGTTGGTAATAAAATACTCCTCCCAGAAAAATCTTGATGTTGGTCTAACTTGTCAACGGTTGCTACGGTTCTTGTGGAGTTTTTAATAATGTATACATAAGCTCCAGCTTAGCACATTTTAATTACTTATCCTCTAGGAAAAAAAGTATTCTGCATACAAGTTAACTTGCAGAATTCTCCATTATAGAGTCAGCTTTCTGAATATGTGGACCTCATTCATCTCAAGAGTGAACCGATTGTGGGTCAAGCTGTCTTCCAGCACAGTTTCTGTCTATAATTCCTACATTTAATAATTGCTGCCTTTAAATAGTAGACTTGAAGTAAATGACAATAGCTCAGTGGTTATAAAGTTAAAGTAAGAGAACTTAAGTTATTTTCCTGTGAGTGACTTCTTGAAATTTTTGTTTAAAATTTAAAACACATGCTTCAGCTCAGGTCATGATCCCAGGGTCCTGGGATGTAGCCCTGCATCAGGCTCCCTGCTCAGCAGAGAGTCTGCTTCTGCCTCCATCCCTCCCCTCTGTCAAATAAATAAATAAAAATAAATAAATAAAATAAAATTTAAAACACATGTACACTGAAAACTATAAAACATTACTTGAAGAAGTTAAAGAAGACACAAATTAATGGAAAAATATCCCATATTCATGGATTGGAAGACTTAATATTATTAAGATGTTAACACTAACCCAAAGCAATTTACAGATTCAATGTAATTCCTATCAAAATCCCAAAGTTATTTCTTGCAGAAAGAGAAAAATCCATCCTAAGATTCATATGGAATACCAAGGAACTCTGAATAGCCTCAAAATTGTCTTGAAAAAGAACAAAGTTGGAGGTCTTACACTTTTCTGATTTTAAAACATATTACAAAGTTACAGTTATCAAAATAGTGTGGTATTTGCATAAACACAGACGTATAGACCAGTGAAACCGAAAAGACAGCCCATAAATAAACCCTTATGTACATGGTCAAATAATCTTTGACAAGGGTGCCAAGGCCACTCAATGAAGAAAGACATCCAGATATCTGCATGCAAATGAATGAAGTTGGACCCTCTTACTTACACCATATACTTACACCATATACAAAAAAAGGGGGGGTGTGCTTTTTGAAAAAACAAACTGCTATGAAAACTTCCTTGCCCCAAATTTAGTCCAGAGCCTCCATAAGATTACCAGTGGAGGGCAAATACAAATCCTAAAAGTTTTCTACACAAATACTAGTAAAAAAGCTTTAGCAATCCAAGTAGGTTTCCTTAACTTGTTCCATCCGTCAGAAACACAATTGGATTCAACTGTTCTTTTATAAACTAGTGAATTTTGTGTTATCATACCTGTCTCATGGCTAAAATTTTAGAATCAGAGCTATAAGATTTCTGTTTGTGTCTATATGTTTATGCATGTCTACATATGTATGTTATGTATGTGATACTTTTTTTATATTTATTTTTTTATTCTTATGTTAATCCCCATACATTACATCATTAGTTTTAGATGAAGTGTTCCATGATTCATTGTTTGTGCATAACACCCAGTGCTCCATGCAGAATGTGCCCTCCTCAATACCCACCACCAGGCTAACCCATCCTCCCACCCCCCTCCCCTCTAGAACCCTGTTTGTTTTTCAGAGTCCATCGTCTCTCATGGTTCGTCTACCCCTCCGATTTCCCCTGCTTCATTCTTCCCCTCCCGCTACCTTCTTCTTCTTTTTTTTTCTTAACATATATTGCATTATTTGTTTCAGAGGTACAGATCTGAGATTCAACAGTCTTGCACAATTCACAGTGCTTACCAGAGCACATACCCTCCCCAGTGTCTATCACCCAGTCACCCCATCCCTCCCACCCCACCCCCCACTCCAACAACCCTCCGTTTGTTTCCTGCGATTAAGAATTCCTCATATGTATGTGATACTTTTTGACCTCTGGATGCTATTGCCAGAAGTAAGTTGTAAAAGGGCTCAATTTAATTGGCTTAAAAAAATAAGCACTTACATAAATTAAGACTACTCAAATGAGTTTATGTTGTCTCTATTAGATATTTAAGATTATAAAATTTTGAAATCATCCTAAGAACAAAACATATAATAAAAATACACATATAATTAAAATAAATTGCTTAATGTAAGTCAAGCACAGAAGGAGAGAGAGAAACCATGTAGATGCTTTTAACAGATGCTTTGCTTCTATGATATTCAATGTTACAAAAATTGTCAGCAAGAAAAATAACTAAAGATGATGGCTAACTGTCAGTTTCATGATTAGTCTAAACATAATTATTTAGAAATGGGAATTAAATACATGTAAATGGAATAGGTTTATAAATGAACTTTTCAACAATGATTATGTTTTATAAAATATGGCTGCTTAAAAATAGTTTCTAAAATCTTTTTGGTAACTTGAATCTTTAAAGTTATACTAAGTTAAATTAAATTAATATACTAGATATTTATTGAATATTTAGATAATAATAAGATAAAATGCTGAAACATTAAATGCTAAATATAAATTTACCTACTTTGGCTTTTTCTTACAGGGAGACAAAAGATATTTGGGTCTGTTCATAGTGTGGATCTTCTTGCCACACTGAAAAAACTATCTATAGAAAAAAGCATATGCTTCTAGAAATTCTGAAATGATATGTTTATACATTTGCCAATCTACTACAGAATGCTGGTATATAACAAACACTTCACAACCAGCAGCTTCCTAGTTTTCACTAAAATTAGAGTTTCTAAGAGTTAAAAATTCTAATCAATATATGTAACTAAAAATGCTAGAAATAATAAGGAAAAAAATTCTGTAGGGAAAATATACAAATAAGGCAGGATATGTTTTTGGTTAAAAAAAAAGATATGAGGTATGATGTGTCTTTGTTAAAGAAAATGGAAAGTAATCTTGTCCTAGGTTAGAGGTTATTTAAAGTTTGTTTCCAAATTAAAAAAAAAAAAAGGAGGATAAAGGATAAAAACTAAATAGATACAGAAAGTTGGGAAGAAGACAAGGAGAGAGAGAAAATCTTATCTTGTGTTGTCAAGCTGGCTAAAAGTAAATGAATTTATTATAAGGGTTTAAAAAATAAGATTTAATATCAATAACATACCTACGCAAAGAAACCAGAATGTTATTCCCATATATGCCTCTTTGACATAAAATTTATTTTGAGCTGAAGGCAACTCAGCAAAGCCAGGAAAAGCTCCTCTTTTTCATAAAAGGCAGGACATAAATTCTCCCTTTGTTGGAGACAGACTCTTTAACAGTTTAGACATGGCACTAGAGAAATCCACAAACAAACATTACTGCCTTTGTTTCCTCCTGAATATTTACCTTCCCACAGGATTTATTAGACATGCAGATTATCAAGCCCCATGCCAGACCTGCTGAATCAGGAACTCTGGGGATGGGACCCCGAGCAATATGTGTTTTAACAAGTCTTACAGGGGATTCTCATACTCTGGACTAAAATAGTATGGTGTCATTTACTGGGATTGGTTCAAGAATGGGCATTCGATCCAATACTTGCTAATGAGACATAATGTCCACTAGGAGAACTTCTGGGAAAACCATTCTCATTCCTGAGTGAAAATCAAAGGGAGTGAGTTTTTCATCTTCTTCTGGAAATTTTGCTTAGAAATATTGCAGTTATGTTGCTGCAAAACCAGGAATGACATAATACCAAGAGCAGCAGAGCAGAATGATGGAAAAGATCTGGATTCGTGGGGCGCCTGGGTGGCTCAGTTGGTTAAGTGTCTGCCTTCGGCTCAGGTCATGATCCCAGGATCCAGGATAGAGCCCCGCATCGGGCTCCCTGCTCCGCGGGAAGCCCGCTTCTCCCTCTT